CGAAACGTGTCCAAGTCAAAGCACCAGGCAGGCAACACAGCCGGGCCGGGTTAAGACAATCGCAGCAGACAAGTCCAAGTCCAAGTCAAACTTGTCAGCAGAGCAGCGACGGCGACGGCGGCGTCGACGGCGGCAGCGGCAGCGACAGCGACAGAGCTATGCGACAAAAATCAACAAGCAGCAAGCAGGAGAGCGCGCGCCGGCAACAAAGTTGCCACTCTTAAAACGAGCAGCAGCTGCGACGGCAGCAGCAGCGACGTCGCGGCATGTTCACCACGGCGACGCAGACGTTAAGTAAAAGCTTAGCCGAGCTTAGCTAAGCTTGTTGTTGTTATTGTTGTTGTCGCGGCTGTCGCCAGCGGCGGCTGCAATGCGCGACAAGCATTTTGACACCGTTTTCTTGTCGTTCTTCATGCTATTGTTGTTGTTGCTGCTGCTGCGGCTGCTGCTGCGCCCACCCACGCGCCCAGCCAGAAACAAAATGGCCGCCCAAGCGCAGCAGTGCGAGCGCGCGCAACTGATCCTGTCAAAAAAGCTCGTGACACTTGCCGACGGCAGCGACAGCGCAGCAGCAGCAAAAACGAAACGAAACGAAAATGAAAGAAAAAAAATAAGAAGAAATATAGCAAAACTGTTGCACTCGATGCTGCCGTCGTGCGTCGCCTGCCGTCGGACGGCATCGAATGACGACGGTCGGCCGAATCATGGTCAGCGTCGCTGCGCGCACGCGGCCAATTCACCACAGCAGCGCAGCGCAGGGCAGCGACGCCAGCGGCGACGCCAGCTATGTGCTCAGTTAATTAGGCAATGGCGACTGAGCGCAGCGCCGAATGAGTGAAAAAAGAAAAACACAACAGACTGAGTGGAATTCACGCCAAACCGGTTACAGGCTGTTCGTGTGCCTCTGTGTCTCTCTCTGTGTGTGTGTGTGTGTGTGTGTGTGTGTGTGTGTGTGTGTGTGTGTGTGTGTGTGTGTGTGTGTGTGTGTGTGTGTGTGTGTGTGTGTGTGTGTGTGTGTGTGTGTGTGTGTGTGTGTGTGTGTGTGTGTGTGTGTGTGTGTGTGTGGTGTGTGTGTGTGTGTGTGTGTGTGTGTGTGTGTGTGTGTGTGTGTGTGTGTGTGTGTGTGTGTGTGGTGTGTGTGTGTGTGTGTGTGTGTGTGTGTGTGTGGTGTGTGTGTGTGTGTGTGTGTGTGTGTGTGTGTGTGTGTGTGTGTGTGTGTGTGTGTGTGTGTGTGTGTGTGTGTGTGTGTGTGTGTGTGTGTGTGTGTGTGTGTGTGTGTGTGTGTGTGTGTGTGTGTGTGTGTGTGTGTGTGTGTGTGTGTGTGTGTGTGTGTGTGTGTGTGTGTGTGGGTGTGTGTGTGTGTGTGTGTTGTGTGTGTGGTGGTGTGTGTGTTTGTGTGTGGGTGGGTGTTGTGTGTGTGTGGTGTGTGTGTGTGTGTGTGTGTGTGTGTGTGTGTGTGTGTGTGTTGTGTGGTGTGTGTGTGGTTGTGTGTGTGTTGTGTGTGTGTGTGTGTGTGTGTGTGTGTTGTGTGTTTGTTGGTGTGTCATTAGGACGTCTGGAGCCAGGCAAGGATAATGCGTTACGCAGCCTCGCAATAACTTTTATTTTTATTGCGCTCCCGTTGTGTCCTTTGCCGTGGCCAAAAATGCCAACAAAAAAAGAGCAGCAAGTCAGCGTGTGCATGGTGGGAGAGGGAGGGGGGCGGGGCCGTGCATTTTGCTCTTGATCTCCCGCAGGAGCACTTTGGTCGGCCGCGTCCTTTAAAGATTTGTGTGTTTTCCCACAATGTTTGCTTATGTCGGCCACTGAAACTGGAGCAGAAATCAGAACAGAGCTAGGCGATGCTTTACACACGCACACACACACACACACACGCACACATGTATATGAGCTAGTAGAGAGTTTGCTTTATTCGAGTTGCGCCTCCATTTGTACCCTATAGTAATTGATTGGAGGATCGCTTGACTTTTCAGTTCGTTTGTCGAGCAACTAAAATCGAATCGAACTAAAGTCTAAAATCCTAAGAAAAGAACCAGAAATAATCAAAATATTGAAACGTGTCAAATTAAAGGATATTAACCAAGGATATTATTGCCAAAAGGTTTTCGTTGATTTGCCGACACACAAATCGAAAGAAAAGCTACAATAATTTTCAGATTTTGTTCTATATCGTTTCAGAGACGACAAGAACTTCAGACTAGGTACACCCCAAGCGGAACAGATGCATAACAGTAAAGTAAATAAATGAAAATAATAGAAACCGTGTCATTCAAGATAAAAACAAGTACAACAAAAATCAAATAAACTAAGAAACCAAATAACATGGCAGCAATTGGCAGAGATTGAGTGAGAGTGAAAGAGGGTAGGTGTGTTAGGCAAGGGAGGGGGGGGGGGGGGGGGGGGGGGGGGGGGTTCGTTGAGCGAAATGCCTTATCACACGTTACGTAGCGAGCGTGTGTAACTGCCGTTGCTGCTGGCCGAGAGAAGCGCCAGAACGTAATGAATAAAATATGCAATAAGCATAAAGACGCAAAACGAAAACGAAAAAAAAAACAAAAAAAATTATGCAAATTCGGCAAAGCTGGCGAGAAACGAACGAAGGAACGAGCGAGCGAGTGAGCGAGTGAGCGAGCGTGCGAGCGAGATGGCAGCTGAGCAACGCCCACTGCACGACGACCATTTTACATTGCGGCCCAGCACTTGGCGTGGGGTAGAGCGAATGCGCGCTCTCTCTTGCTCACTCACTCACTCGCTCTCTCTTGCTGCCACGACGCCGACGTCGTGAGAGCCGGCCGTGTTGTGTACAGCAGGCGGCGCTGCTCGCACTCGCACTCGCACTGCATACGACGGCGCTGCTGCGCTGCTGCTGCTGCTGCTGCTTGTGTGAGCGCATTTCGCAGCTGTGGTGAGTTTCTCGCATACACGGGCAATATTGTCAACTGCTCGAAGCACACACACACACACACACACACACACGCACACAAGCGAGCGAGCGTGTGTGCTGGGCAACAACAACAATGCGCACGATCGTTTTGTGGGCGGAGCTTAAACGTAAGCATGCGTCCGCTCCATGTGCGCAAGCGAGACGCAAGCAACACCTCTCGGTCTCAGTCTCAGTCTGAGCCACATAACAGGCCGCACGCATCCTACATTTTGTCACAGGACGACGCCGTGTCCTGTCCTGCCAGCCAGCAGCAGTGCCGGCTCGTTCACAGCAGCAGCAGCAGCAGTAGCAGCAGCAGGAGGCGGCGGCAATAGACGCATCCTGCTGCGGCCTCGTAACACATCCTTGCCGCACGCAGCTTCTGAGTGTACAGCCTGCTTTTTGGCGCGAAATTTCACGCTTTGTATTGCAAAGCGGGCCATGTTTATCGCAAGGATCAATCACAAATGGCAATTCGATTATCGTTATGTTCTCAATGAACAACTATACATATAATAATCATATTCTGCTCCACAAATAGCGTCTCATTATGTTAACATATAAAGTATTTCTCCTACGATTTGAAACTGTATTCTTGTTTAGTTTCTAGCTAGATGAAATTACCCGGCGTCGCCCACGTTCATTGCAAAATCTGAGTGCAAGTTGTAATTGAAAATGTAATATCAAAATCAGCTTGAATTACAATCTCCAGTCTTTATAATTTACACCAATAAAACATTTCATTGACTTTTGGAACAACTTATCAATAGAAAATTGCTGACTTTGAACCGGCAACCGCTCGCTTGCTGGTCCAAAGCGCATACAGCTAGCCACGCAAACTTCTAACCTAACTTTCGGCAAGCACCGTTATATGATGCAGTTATTTTATTTTTCACCAGGAGGTGAAATTAACCGCAACCTAATGTTAATGTTAAATATCAAGCAGCCTAGCTGTTAAAGCTTGGAGGAGGATTCTCAAAAGTTGAACTTTCGAGTGTAAGTTCATAATTTATATAGATATATATGTATATATATATATATATATCGCAATTATATTGTACGAATTCCGATTTGGAAAATTGCCGCTTCGGCATTTCGAGACACTTCAAAATGGCGTCAAGTTTGCAGCTGCCGCCGAGAATATCGAAAACAAATACAAAAAAGAAAACACAAAAAGAAAAACAGAAATAAGCAGAAAATTAACTGTAAAATGTGCCACAATATGCAATTGTTGATAATGAGGCATGTGGCGCGCATATCCTACGTGCCCCTACGCCCTACCCCCACCTACCCCCACCTCCTACCCCCTACCCGCTGCACTCCGTAAAAACAAAAAAGAAACCAACTGCACATTTCGCATGCGAAAGCAAACTCTGGCGCCTGCGCTCGGCCTGCTAATTAGTCGTAGCTGCAGCCGGAATCTGGGCGACAGGATTTGCCATGTGTTGGCCGAACGAGGGGGAGGGAGGGTATCTGGCTTGGGGGCGCCGTTTGTTGTATTTGCTAAACTTTGCATTAAATTTTGGCGCTGCGCAGGCGGCGGCAATTAATTTGGAGGCGCAACAAGCGTTGAGAGCGTCGAAATGAAGTGTGACGAGAATTTGCCCTTACTCTGCTTTTTACCCGCCCTCAAAATACCCTGTAGTATTGTGGGCAGGCAACAAAGAAACATAGCAAAAGCTGAGATATAAGATACCTTAAAAGCCGTTTAATAAGTATCTTATATCTAGCTAAAAAACAAGGAAAAAGCAAGGAAAGAGCTTCAGCAGAGTCTTAACTTTCCACTTTGAGCTCATGGAACTCGGCTTCTACGAGAGCTAAAGTGGGCAACTTTTGTATGTAACTGTCCCATGGCATATTCTGTTAGTTTTAACCGTGCTAGACCAAATACAACTGAATAAAACTTCTCTTCTCTATATACAACATATACAACATCATCATATACCATTTTGACCTCATGGAACTCGGGCTCTATTAGAGCTAAAGTGGGCAATTTTGGTATGTAGCCGCCCTTTGGCATATACTAACTGAATTAACTGTGCGAGATCATATAAAGCTGAATAAAACTTACCTGCTCCATACATATCTCGTTTCTGACCTCATGGAACTCGGGCTCTGCAAGAGCTAAAGTTGGCACAATTTGGTATATAGCTGCGTTTTTCATATTCTGTAAAGAAACAATAGAACAGTAGTAGAAACAACAGTTGAGTTAAGCCTGCCGTCGTAATATACATCTTTGCTGTTTGAACCTCAGGGAACTCGGGTTCCACGAGAGCTACACTCAGAAAATTTGGCATGAAGCTGCCCTTTGGCATGCTTAGTTAATTTTAACTATGCTCGACTAAATACAATTGAATAAAACTCACCTAGTCCGTACATATACCGTTCCAACCTCATGAAGCTCGGGTTCTATATGAGCTAAAGATGTCAAATTTGGGGCTTCGAGATGAATGGACATAAACTGGCTGTTGGGAATAGTTTCGGATGCCTGGTATTTCCGTTGACTTACGGTTCACAGGGCATCTGGTAGTCAAGCACGCTCGACTCTTGCCCTTCGGACAACATTTTGCTCAACATTTTGCCTTGCATCAGTTACTTGCGGTCGACTCTGTCGTCTGTCTGTTGCGGCAACTGTACTGGGCGCACACCCTCCTCCCCCTCTCGCTCTGTAGTGGGGCAACGTTTTCCCACCTTGCCACATTCAAATGGATGTGAATGTGAATGGCTTTTGGATGTGCGTGCGTGACAATCTCGCCGCCCTCCCGACATTATACGTTTTGGTCTTTTCCAGTTGCATCATTCAAGCATGACAATAAAGACCATGTTGTTGTTGTTGTTGCTGCTTCTGTAGCCCAAACACTAGGCAACAAATTGTTGTAATTATGGACCCGGTTGCGTTTCGCTTGTCGCTTCCCGATGTCATAATGTCGGGCATTGTCGTCTCCGTCTCCGCGTGGCCTGCAATTATGGTAAAAGTTGCATGAAACAAACCAACAGCAACAACAGCAACAACAGCAACATTTAAACGTTACATTTTCAGTTGTGAATTGAAATCATTTTGTTGTGCTTTTGTTTTCGCAAAATAATACATATATCTACAATAATAGTCGCACCTGAGAGCACCCTACAAAGCTTTCACGAGCTTTCACTTGACCCCCGTTGTTCTATTATGATTTTGATTCCAATTCCAATATTATACGACTTTAGGTTTCCTTAACTGCCAACTGCACAGATTTAACTTTTCAGATTTTGTTCAATCCGAAACTGAAATAATTTTCGCCTGTTTTGATCAGAACATTTTCCAAATTCCTTTAACTTTTGTTTTCCCTTTAGTTCTTAGGCGACTTTTCTTTCGTCTTGGCTTTTCCTGCTGCTTCGTTCTCCGACTTGCTTTCTAATTTTTCTTGGCTTTTCCTTCTGCTTCGTTCTCGTATTTATTCTGTTTCGTTTTGTTTCGTTTCCTATTGCGTTTTCCGTTTCCTTTTTCGTTTCGTCTATTCTTTCGACTTTTCGAATTGTTTCCGGCTTTTCTTTTCCCCGTCTGTCTATTCTGCCTTTTGTTCTGTTTTCTTTTTCGTATTTTCTTCCTTCTTTCTTTCGTCTTCTGTTTCGTAGCTTGCTTCGACTTTGCTTTTGTCTTATCTTCCTTTCTTGTCTGTTTTTCCTATTGTGTCATCCATTCTTCTGCCCATTTCTCCATATTTTTTTCGTTTTCTGTTTTGTGATTTGCTTTGCTTTCGGCTTCATCAATTTGTTCTTCTTATTCATTTCCTTCGTAAATTCCTCCCTCTAATCTCCTCTTCCTCCATCCATTCGTTCGCCTACTTTCTGTTTTGTCGATTCTTCCATCTTCGTGTTTTCTTCTACCTTTTTCTCAGTCCATTCTTCTACCTATTCTTTCGTCTTCCGTTTATTTTTCTGCCTTTTCCTAACTTCTATTCGTCTGTCTATTGTTCCATCCATTCTTCCGCCTATTCTCCCTTCTACTGTTTCGTTTTTTGTTTTGTTAATTCTTCCATCTCCTTCTTTTCTCAGTCTCTTCTTCTATTCTTCCGTCTATTGTTCCATCCATTCTTCCGTCTATTCTCCCCTCTGCTGTTCCATTTCCTGATTGTAGTTTCTTTTATAGTTTTCCAAGTATATTCACCCGACTTCTGTTTCATCAATTCTTCAGTCATTTCCTACGTCTAATCTTCTGTCTTTTCAGCAGTCTATTCTTCTTAAGGACATTAATATTCTTGGAAATAATTAAGTATAAGAATGGATATATAAACAAATTCATATAATTATTGTAGACTAGGATCAACTGTTACACCATGGTAGCAGCTCCTGTCAGGGTTGCCCTCTCTCCTGCTTGCCACGCAATGCTGAGGTCAGGTTCGGCCAGGGGCAGGGGCTGGGGCAGGGGCACGGGCTTCCAATGTTGGCACAATGATTTTGGCTGGGCACGTCAATTCGATTGAGACCCTTCGCTTTGGGCCAACTCTCGAGCCAACAGCTGACACAATAGACGTAGCGTGTTGCGTAGTTGCACACCACATGCGGATGCAACATGCAACAGCGAAACGAAAAAGACATGCAACAAGCTGTCTGCCCCTGGGCCAACTCTCTCTCTCTCTGTCTCTCTCTCTCCCTTTGGGCCATTTTGATTATTAAACTGTCTCCGTGAGTCTTCAGAACGCCAGCGAAGCGAGGAGATAATTATGAGATGCGCGTTGGGCTGTTTTTGGCCGTGGCATGCCACACCCCTCCCCCTCTCGACTGTGACGCCCCTGCCAGCTAGCTCTGGCGGTCATGCCCCGATCGCAACAGTCCGCCTAACCTGCCCGAGCTGCTGCAATGCAGCACAGATTGCACCGGGGCTATTGCCTGGAGCGTTTCTCAACCCCCAACCCCCAACCCCCACCCGCCCAGCGTCCAAGTGAAATGCAATTTAGCGTAAGTGGCCTCTAGACGCGACAAGCGTCGTCCGGGCGGACTTAGCGGGGCTTTCGGGCTCGGGTCGTCTGGCACTTCTTGGGTGCAGGAGGCGGAGATTGGGCTGCCTCTTGCGCAGCAGTTCCGCTGCCGCTTCCGTGGCAGGCACCCAAAATGTCAACCAGGTCAGCAACGCACCACCTCGGTGCACACCTCGACACAACCCCTAACCCCGCTGCCATCAACCCCATTAGCCGGGCGCGTGAGTGTCGAGTGTGTTGCTTGAGTGGCTCTGCACTTTGGGCTACTTCGGCTGCTGCTTGTTCCTGTGTGTGTGTGCGTGTGTGAGTGTGTGTGTGCTTCCTCATTCTCTAAATGTGCTAATAATAATCATGGCAGTCTTTACCCCCCCCCCCCCCCCCCCCCCCCCCCCCACCCTCGTCTGCCCGTGACATCAAATGGCATGTTAAATTTTGCACAATTCTGCCGCAGTCGACGCGTCGCGTCACCCGGAAATATTTTACGCTCATTTTACCCCCCACATACACCCCCCCCCCCCCTTCCCCCCTCACACACGCACAAACACACCGACGCTGTCGCTGGCATTATTAGCCCTCATTTAAGTAAATCCCATTATAAAAAAAAAAAAGTAAGAAAATCCAGAAAAAAGCTCGTTTGACATTTGGTTGGCTGCGTCGAGCTGTTCGCATAGAGGGTGTCAGCCTGCCCCCACCCTAACCTTACCTCACCTCACCTCAAACCACCCCAACCCCACCCCGCTCCGCCCTGAGCTTACCAGCAACTGCTGCTGCTGCTGCTGCTGCTGCTGCTGCTGTTGAGCTCATTCCAGTTGCTGCTAATCCAATGGCTTTTTAACCAGTCTACAAGTCTGTAAGTATTTCTCGCAGGCAGCTTCAATCTTAAAGTTGCTCTTGCTTAAACACAAAATGGATTCCCATTTGTATTCATATAGAAGAGAATCAACTGCCCCGAAGGACTGGACTGTGTCTCTTCGACTTGAACTCGGGAATTCGAAAGAACTTGCATATATCATATATATCAACCGAATCCAAAGACTATAGCTTCTTATTTAAAAAACTATTTGGTTTGTCGAGAAACTTGGGCCAAATCTTTTATACATCAGATATACTTTATCATACAACTCTATAGAGAGAATGGGTTGAAGAATATGTTCAAAGCTAAAATCAAGGAAACGTTGCATTTATTAGTTCTAAGTATGCTGCCTATCTCTATAGAGAGAATGGGCTGAGGAATAAGTTTATAAAGGAAAAACTCTTTAAGCTTTCAAGATATGCTACTACTCTTCCGCTTCTTCTCAAGCTATCTTCAGCAAACTCAGCATTGACGATCTTCCATGTTCTTGTCTTGGTTTGTGTCAAAGCCTTTCCTGAACTGATAAACATAACCCAAACAAGCTCAGCTAACTTCCAGCTGCCAAGAACTCATTCAATATCGAACTACTATAACATATACCTATATGGATAATAAATGTTTGTCTTAAGAGGAAAATTCAGATTGCAACTTTGAAGAATCTACACCCTTTCTGCTCTGGCAAGTCCCCGCAGTCGAAGGGTTAGCGTTGTCACGCACAAAAGGTTGACTTCAGTCAGTGGGCGTGGCATGCGCACAAGACAATTCTTGGCCATTTTGCCAGTGTTGCCGAGCAGACGAGCAGACGAGCAGAAAGCGTTGCAAGCGCGAGTGTGGCATTATGCGGCACTGCCCCAAAACCTAAACCCCAAGGCAGCGCCAAGCAGCAAGAGTTTGGGCTTGGAACGACCTCAAATTGTGCGGCTTGCAGCCATAATTATTTTTACGGCACATTGCGTCGCAGTAGGCAATCGCAGCAGTCGGAGCATTCGCAGCAGTTGGAGCAGTCGGAGCAGTCGGAGCAGGCGTCGGAGTCGTAGGAGTTGCTGCGGCTTTGCAATCTCGACCCCTTCAACGAGGGCGCGCGCACCATAGAAAATAATAATAAAAATAATTATGCATATGCCACCGTTGTGGCACAAACACCCCCACCTCCCCCCCCTTCGTCCCAGCTAGAGGCAGAGGCAGCGTCGCATCGTCTGCTAATTTAGATGAGCATGCTCGACAGTAATTTGCATGCCAGTTGCAGTTGCAGTCGCCCAAAGTGCTTGCCATTTCCCCCCACCAAGAGCAACCAGCCCCCCTGCCATCTAACAGCAGCACCCGCCCTAGTCACCTACCAACCCCCGACCTGGCTGTGGCAGCCACTTGGTGGCTTTTGGCTCGGCGACTGTCAAAGCCGCCTACATGTGTCGTCGTCCGCGTTGTTGTTCTTCTTGTTGTTGTTGTTGTTGTTGTCGCTTTTGTGCATATGGCGTTGTTGTCTTTCAGTTGTTGTTGTTGTTGTTGCCGCCGCTGGCTGTGCCATGTCATTCACACACAAAGTGTGTGGCTCTGAGCTAAAATGGCATACACTTGCACACTTTGCTTTGATTCGCCCACTCTGCGCGGCCTGGCAGCAGGGGCAGCAGGGGCAGCAGGGGCAGCAGGGGCAGCAGGCGTGCCACTAATTGGGGCAACCAACTGCAGCAGCTGCAGCTAAAGCGTACTTCCAAGCACAACTGTACACGGCCTCTGTCTGCGGCTCTGCATATATCTAACTATCTCTCAGTTGGCCCCTCCCCACGCATGGGCTGACTAAGGCTGGCAATTCATAAATATATGCTTAAATATCAAATTTCAATTATAGAAAATGAACTTATGCTAATTTGCATGTAATTTATAGAATAATAACAAACCCTTTTACTTTAATTTAGTTCCAAGTATTTGGAATTGGAATAAATTTAATAATTCTAGATCTTCTCGAGCATTACGGTATTTACAGTATTATATTATAATAGACTGTAATCATTTGCAAAAGCTAGAAATGTTATTTAGATTTCAATCTATATATTCGCCAAATTGATGCATAAATAATAGTATGAATGTATATCCAAGCATTTCAAAATGAGAAACCTCGTAGTTGTATTTGGATCAGAAAGTCTAGAAATTGTGTACTACTTAGCCCAATATTCTTTCTCTATTGGGCTATGTCCTCAATTATTGTCTCATTGCAAGCGTACAAATCTTTCAAAATACTTTCATGTAAATGCCAAATAAGCTTCCAATAAGTATATATCTTTATAGGTATATTTATAGGTATATATCCTAGGCTTTGGCTTGGCAGAAAGCAAAAGGCACTCTTCGATTCCGATTAAAAGTAAAAAATGCATCAATAAACGCCAACAATGTCTCATAAGTTGTAGATATGCACTAAATTGCCTAAATTA